AATCCACATGGGTTTATTTGGAATGCTGAGCATGGTGGATTATGAGTATCAAATGGTCCACACATACGTTTCAGGGCCAATTCATCTTCTATGTACTTAGCCAGTGCTGTTGGTTCTATATTTATAGATTTTAGATTATCCTGTATTGTTATTGTTCATTTGCCGGTAAAGTTAAATCTAAAACCATTTTGTATGCCGTCTTTGAGATACTGAATAAATTGTTGATTTGGATGTTCACATGTTAGATAGTCAAATGCAAACTTGTTAATCGGAGTTATTACATTAAAGTGAGCTAGATCTAATTGTGCTAAAATTGCTGCCTCTTCTTGTGACATTAGATTGCTTCTTGGTGGGATAGCTTCAATAGTTTGTTCGACTGATTGTAAATTTGGTTCTGCGCATGATGTTATAGCTTTCGATAATTTAAACTGTGCAGTATACTTCATTGTTTTCTGCATATTACTTGTCACTGTTATTTTATATATTGATGTTAGTAAGGCTTTTATTGTTAGTTATTTATTTGTGTTAACACTTTTGTCAAATCATATTTATTTATTTCGCTATTACAGTTGTTTATTTATTAGTTCAGACTATGTATTTAGTTGAATGTTTTTTTTTTTTTTTTTTACTCATGCTGCTGCTGTGTTATTCATTTGTTGAAGTATAATTGTTTCTGTTTCTAGAGTTTTTGCGAAAGCAGGTCTTTTCACTATGTCCAGTCTTTCTGCATATTATACAGGCGTGGATTCGACCACAATTCTTGTCCTCAGGGCATGTTCTACAGTTCCAATTCAGGCAAATCTCTTTGCCATCTTGCCAGTATGTGTTTACCCAATTAGGCTGACGCCAGCCATTATCTTTTGTTTTTCTTGTTGTTGTCACGTCAAAATTCTTGCCTTCTGCTTCTATATTTCTGTCTAGAAGTGTGGAATCACGATCCGTTACTAATGCCACTCTATGATCTTCGTCGTATTCCATTACAGCTGTAAACTCATATTTGATACATAGTTCATTTATATGATCTCTATATGTGTTTAGCTCTTGTTCACGATTTTCATATAACATTAATACTGCATCCATATATGCTTTGAATGCTAGTAACTACTCAGATATATTTCCTGAAAGTTACATTGCGCTTCTGTTTCTTTATAGAGATCATTCCACCGTCTGAAGTTTCTAAGGTAGTATCATCATTCATTTCTTTTGCACTGTCAATCAGGTTTTTATGTATAAATTCGTGAAGGTTCACAAATGAACCAAATGCCAGTGCTTTCCATAGTTTGTAAGTCACCGTTGGCTTTTGTGGGATCATTTCTATCATTTTTTGTCCTTTTTTCCAATTCATGACCCACCATGACCGAATACGTTCTGTCTCTGCTGCTTTTGGGTTTAAAAACCCTTGAATTGTTGGCATATTCTTTATTATGCTATAATTTATTGTTGGAAACTTTCTGGCAGTTACTTTATATGTTGTCACTCCAGCATTCATTGTTGTTCCATTGTTTTGACTTTTCAGGTTTGTCCTTATGATTAGATTGTTTATAACTGAAGAAAGGGGGTAATTACCTTGTGATGTTCCAGTATCTCTGTCAGTTTCCATATTGCCTTGTTGATTGTTGGTTATAGTCTGGTTAGTGTCATCATTCTGATGATTGTTATTATTACTCTGTTGGCTTGTTTGTTCTAGCTGTATGAATCTTTGATTGATTGTATCCATGCACTGGGAATTCCATTCTCTTTGCACTTCAAACTGCTGGTCCATATATTGTTGCATGGTCCGCATTATAGCTGTTGCAGTTGTTTGGATTACAGTATCTACATATGTTTTTGTTTGTGTGTCTATGCTTATTTCAGGGCTTCACTCCTCTTGACTTTGACTGCCCGATGCAGTGATTGTTTCTACAGACTCGTTGGATACTATGCTTGCATTTCTGGCAATTGATAGATTGCATGTATTTCTCTTGCTCATTTTTTTTTTTAGTTGCGAATGTTTTGCTTTACCGGTTGTTGTTTAGCCACTTGCTGATGTCTGACCTTATGTCATGGTTCTTGTATTATTATTTATTGAGTT